TATATATATATACGCACACAAATTATGCCTAAAATGTTGTTCATATTGCCAAGCTTTCCTAAATTGCACTTATTTTATTATGCAGAATCCATTTGAAAAGGCTATTGTCTTATACATATGTACATCGAGTGCTTTTAATGCCATTCTCTTACTATAGGGTCTGGCTTCAGAAATGCCACGTTCACCACCCTCGGTGCGACCGGCCGTGCAGGCCCGACCAGCCTGGGTGCCCACTACCGCGGACAGGACCACGAGAAGCTGGTGACCTTACAGGACGGGATCCAGCTCTTCACCGTGCCTGAGACGGGAAACTACAGTATTGAAGTGGCTGGTTAGACTAATATCATGGTTCAAATCTATTGGTATACATGTAGATACTAAACTGTTCAAGTTCGCGTGGAAAAGAGAATTTTATGGGGTAGGAAAAAAGCTGACGAAACACTGACGGACAAACAGACACACGGAAAGCGATATCTCTGTTCCCGGAGGTAATGACATATTACGTTATTGGTTCCACATTCTCCACATGTCCAGGTGCCGCAGGAGGCTGGGATTCCACCACCAGTAACAAGGATAACCGGGGCTATGGTGCCATGATGATGGGAACCTTCGAACTCCACAAAGGTTGGTTAAACGTCGGCTTATATACCTCTCTCGATCGACCAAAGTAAAGTAAGTAAGTAAAAGGTCATGTTCAGGAAATGTGCTGAATAGGAAGTCCTCAAAAAGGTGGAATTGAAGAAGCCGAGAATTGCACACTTTCTGTGAGTCTGAAATGTTCCGTTTATTTTTCACAGGAGAGGTGCTGAAGATTCTGATTGGGCAGGAAACGGTGGCCAAAGGCGGCATGTCTTCCGGAGGAGGCGGCGGGACGTTCGTGGCGAGGTTTAACAACACCCCCCTCATCATCGCGGGAGGGGGAGGGGGCATGCAGTGGTTGAGCCGGCGCTACGGGTCGTGCGACGGAACGACGCTAACGTCAGGCCAGAGGAGTTATGTAGGCGTGAAAGGCCGGGCGGGGAATGTAAGTGACGAGGTGAACGCGGGGGGTACCAACGGGCATGGGGCGACAGACGGGAAGGGGGACTTAGGCGGGGGCGGAGGCGGCTTTTACACTAACGGCGGCAGCGGGCGAGAGTTTGGGTCTGGGTCTGGGACAAGAGGCGGGGAGGGGGGATACGCGTTTGTGAACGGGGGGCAGGGAGGGAGAGGTTGTAATGGAGGGAAGGGGACTGGTTATAATACTGACGGGGGGTTCGGTGGCGGAGGGGGGGCCTACCAGCCAGGTAAGGGGTCAGGTGGAGGAGGGGGGTACTCCGGAGGGGGGAGGGGACAACCAGAACTGTGCGAGTGCGGAGGAGGGGGAGGGTCCTTCAATAATGGAACGTACAAAAGTGGCCGGAATGGAAAAAACGACGGGCCTGGTTACGCAGTGATCGTAAGGCTGTTTG